TGTCGAAACAGAAGCCTACGGTGGAAATATTGACCGAGCCTGCCATGCTCATTTGGAAAATAAGATGATATCAATCCAATAGACCATAAAGAATTTGATAAAAACTTGAAGAGTTTATTAAGCAAACCGCCTCTAAAACTGAAAGACTTAAAGGCAAGATTAAAAAAAGAAAGGGGGAGAAAAAGAGGAATGGCGAGAATAAATCAGAGGACAAAAAAAGTTCCAAGTAGTTTTTTAGGCTGGTGTAAAGTTCTATATTATTGCCAAAAATTATTATAAAGGCTGGTTTAGCTATAACTGGATAGAGCAGCCGCCTTGTAAGCGGAAGGCTGGGGGTTCGAGTCCCTCAATCAGCACCAAAAAGAAAAATTTACTCCCTGTCTACTTAAAAAATAAATAAATTCATTAATGAATAAATTACCAACTAAATATCATTTTAATTTAACGGAAAAGCAAGAAAATTGTGAATATTGAAAAAAAATAGCAACTAAAAATAATAAATTTTCCTCTTCACTTTTGATGCCTCCGCCTAATATTACGGGCAATTTACACTTGGGACATTGCTTAGACTTAATACCTCAAGATTTCTTAGTGCGTTATTTTTATTTAAAAAACCAGCCGATTTACTGAATTTCTGGCATGGATCATGCTGGAATTGCTGCGCAAAAAAAAAATCGAGTCTTTAAATTTTTCTAATCTCCAAACCAGGGAGCAAAAAAGGAATTATACTTTTAATACTTGGTATCCTCAAACCAAAAATATTTTTTTTAAGCAGTGGGAGAAATTGGGCTTATTAGTTAATTATGAAAACACCAAGTTTACCTTAGACCCAATTATTCAAGAACAAGTAAAGCAAGCCTTTATCCAATTATATAACGACAGTTTAATTTATCGAGACAAGAAATTAATTAATTGAGACCCACAATTGAAAAGTGCTATTTCGGATATTGAGATAGAACACAGGTCAAGTGAAAGTAAGTTATATTACTTAAAATATCCTCTGCCAAATAATCAACAGACAAAACAAGAAAGATGTGCTAATTATGAGCTTACTTTTGTCCGAGTAATTATTCAAAACAAAGAAGAAAAAATATTGATGCTGAAAGAAAAAAAATGAGGTTGAATCTTTCCGGGAGGCAAATTAGAACCAGGTGAAACTTCTCTCCAAGCAGCCAAAAGGGAAGTTTTTGAAGAAACTAACTTAGTGGTTGAAAAATTAAAAAAAATTAAAGAAAAGACTTTCTTTTTTAATAACCAATGAATAAAAGGTTATGTTTATTGAACTAATGAATATTCTGGAAAAATACAAAACAAAGAACCAGAAAAAATGTTAGACATTAAATTTATAGACAAAACTTCAAAAGAAACATATGAAAGTGCCAAGTGATGATTTTTTTCTTCCAATAAATTAGATTGCTTGAAAATGCTAGACGGCAAAGTAGAAAAATTAAAAGACAATTATTTACTAGTTGCCACTAGCCGACCCGAAACCATTTTTGCTGATGTGGCCTTATTTGTTAATCCGCAGGATAAAAGATATCAAAAATACATCGGTCAGGAAGTCCAGCATCCAATAACCCAAAAAATTATTCCGGTTTTGGCTGATGAAAAAATAATCATTGATTTCGGCACAGGAGTTTTAAAATGTACTCCCGGACATGATTTTTTTGATTATGAATTAGGAAAAAAATATAACTTGCCTTTGATTAGTTGTTATAACGAAAAAGGAATTTTGAATAATTTAGCCGGTAAATGACAAAATCGAGAACCCCAATCGATTCGTCAAGAACTAACAAAAGAACTTCAAGCACAAAATATTTGCCTAAAAATTGAAACTTACCAAACTAACTTGGCAGTTTCTCAAAGAAGCGGAGCAACTATTGAGCCTTTGCTTTCCACTCAATGGTTTTGTGATTTGCCACAATTAATTCAAAAAATAGAAACCAAAAATCCTGATTTTTTAAGCAAAATTAACTTTTGCCCTGTTCGCTTTCAACAAATTATTCAAGATTGAAAAGGAAAAACTCACGAATGATGCATTTCTCGCCAATTATGATGAGGACATCAGATTCCAGCCTGATATCACAAAAAAACTGGAGAAGTTTATGTAGGCACGAAACCGCCATCACTTATTGAAGAATGAGAACCTGAAAAAGATGTTTTAGATACTTGATTTTCCAGCGGATTATGACCGATAACTACCACTAACCAAGGAAAAAAATTTCCACAGCCCAGCCCTCAGTATTTTCCTATCACTCGCTTAATTACTGGTTATGATATTCTTTTTTTTTGAGTATTAAAAATGATCCTTTTAGGCTATTATTTTACTAATCAGCCCAGTTTTCAAAATATTTATCTCCATGGTCTAATTCGCGACAGTCAAGGACGCAAAATGTCCAAATCTTTGGGGAATGGAGTTGAACCTGAAGAAATAATCAAAAAATATGGGGCTGATAGTTTGCGTTTATTCATTTTGGAAAATAATATTCTTGGTTCTGATTTAATTTTTGAAGAAAGCAAAATCAAAGGCACTTATAATTTTATTCAAAAACTTTGAAGCATTGGTAATTTTCTACTGTTAAAATTAGATGAAAAAGAACTAAAAAAAATTGAAATTAATGAATTAGAAACAGAATTAAACAAAGAAAATAATAAAGAAATTAAAATAATCAATTTTTGAATTCTTAATGAATTAGAAAAATTACAAAAAGTCTACTTCAAGCATGGTGAAAAATTAGAAACCAGCCTTTTAGCCAAAAAATTAATTGATTTTACTTGGCAAAAATTAAGCAACGACTATTTAGAATTAATAAAAATAACTATTTGGAGCCCAGCAACAAAAAAAACTTTGCTTTATACTTATCAACAGATTTTGTTATGCTTACACCCTTTTATTCCTTTTGTTAGTGAGTATCTTTATCAAAAAGTTAGCGGGCAAAGACTACTAACGTAGAGCCTACAAAGATTTACTACTTCGTTTTTTAAGATAAGTTACAAACTTTGCTAAAAAGTAATATATAGTAAAAATGGAAAAAAATAAAGAATTTATTGTCGATAACTTCCAATCATTACTCAATGAATGCAAAAGTTTACGAAAAAAATTAGGCTCGGCTAATTATAGTAAAAGAACCAAGTTTTATGCTTGAATGAAAAAAAGGCAAAAATTGGAGTTGACTGAAGACGAATGCTATGAGGTTGAACTTGACC